CTCTCTTTCTTTCTCATCCTGTCTCTTTCTCTCATTCATTCTCTCTCTTTCTGTCTCATTGTCTCATTCTCTTTCTCTCATTCTTTCTCATTCTTTCAATCTCTCTCTCAATCCTTCTCATTCTCTCTCTTAATCTTAATCTTTCAATCTCTCTCATTCTCTCTTTCTCATTCTCCCAATCTCTCTCTCTTTCATTCTTTCTCAATCTCGGTCTCTCATTCACTCTCTTTCTCTCTCTCACTCATTCCCTCTCATTCTGTCTCAATCCTTCTCATTCTCTCTTTCTCTCATCCCCACCTCTGATTCCCTCTCTCTCTCTGTCACTTTGCTGATAGATACACACCCAACAACCACTTTATAGAATTCCTCTTCAGTTTACACCAGACCCTAATGTATGTGCACCACAGACGTGGGCTTCACATAATTTAACAACCAGTTCACCCAGAATTTAAAATGTGAGTGCATGCACCTTGCACACATGCGCGCTGTGCCAAAAACACGGCGATTGTATAAGGTGGGATAGCGCCAGAGCGGGTGGGTGGGCCCTGCCACTGGCCATAGCTACCAGTTCGCCCGAACCAGTCTGAACTGGTTGAATCCCTCCCGGTGCACCACCCCCTAAAGTCGGACATGACTGGACAGGGGAAACCTTCCCTTCCCTATGACTTTGATTTAATAGATAGCCATGGGCTTTGTGGTAGATTCTAAAGCTCTGTTATGGCTCCGTTACCTGAGCCTGTGTCATCGGCAGGAGAGGACTCCGAGAGTGAAGGAGAGGAGTTGGCAAGGCCTCCCTCTCCAGGACCCTCCTCTCTGGCAATGCCTTCGGTGTCTGCCGAAGGGCAAGAGATAGGGCCGGGGCCAAGCACGTCCACGCAACCACAGATGGACAGTGATGAGGGTAATGAGTCTTGGCTGGATCCACGCCAGCGTCGCAGAGATAAGCGCACGCAACAGAAGAAAGGGCGTGCCCGAGATTAAGCTGAGTCACTGGACCACACCCCACAGGGTATAAAAGGGAGCGTGGTGGCCAGTCAAACCTTGTGACGAACAAAGCTGAAAGCTTCCATGCCATTCTGCATTGCTGGACTTTTGCTTTAAGACTTTGCTGGAGTATCTCTGGACTTGATTAATTCTGTAATTATTGAGCTGCTTTCCTTTGATGTACCAGAAGTGGGGAGAAGTTATCTCTCCTCTTTGTAAATAATAAACTCTTGGCAGGCAGCCACTAGGTTGTTGCCAAGTTCCGTTATCATAAGGAAAAGGATTTTGCCAGCTGGTTTGGTCTTTAACTCTTGAACGTCTGTTGGTGTGTGTGCGTGTGGTTGGGGACAGAACAAGCTCATCATCTAGCCAGAATTTTCTCCTGCAAAAGTACAGGAAATCCTCAGCTTTACAACACTTCCTTTAGTGACCGTTCGAAGTTAACAACAGCCCTGGGGGGGAGAAAAAGTGACTTCTGACCACTTTTCACACTTAAGACCCTTGCCGCATCCCCATGGTCACGCAATCAAAGTTTGGACGGTTTGGCCCCTGACTCGTATTTATGACCGTCGCAACGTCCCCGGGGTGACGTGATTCCCTTGGGTGGGACACACGAAATCCTTGGGAAAGCCGGATTCGCTTCACAACCAGGGTTACTAACTTCACAACTGCAGGGATTCAGTTATTAACAACTGTGGGCAGGAAGGTCGTAAAGTGGAGCAAAACTCGCTTAGCAACCATGCCACAGTTGCGGTCGTAAGCCGAGGACTACTTAGTATTGAGGCCCTTCCTCCTGAGATGAACCTCCGTTCTCTTTTTTCCGTCTTCCGACAGGGCCATCGCTTCACGGCTCTCCGTCTCCCAGAACGTCTCATCCTTTCCCTGCCTCCAGAGGAGAAACCGAGGCATCCGTTCTTTGGAGCACGTCCAGGTGCAATTGTGGCTCACTTACAGCCGGAGGGGAGATCTGGCCATCTCGCTGACCAGCCCTATGGGAACCACCTCCACGCTGGTGGATGTCAGGTGAACCTGTCCCCTAACCTGTGCGTTTGTGCAAACCCCGATCTTCTCCCCTCGTCCACCCCCCCCCCCAGCGGGGGGGGGCGGAAAATCCCCGAAACCCCCCAGCACCAATAGCACCAGTGGGAACCCCGGTTTCAGCCGGCATCTATTTATGATGGTTGCAATATCTGGGGTCACGTGGGGAGTGGAAGCTAAAACTTACGAAGAACAGTTGCAGGATTTTTTGGCACGGCCAGTCTAGAGAAAAGAAGGACCAGGGGGTGACCGGATAGCAGTCTTCCAGTATTTGAGGGGCTGCCGTAAAAGAGGAGGGGGTCAAACTATTCTCCAAAGAACCAGAAGGCAGGACCAGAAGCAATGGATGGAAACTGATCAAGGAGAGAGATTCAACCTGGAAATAAGGAGGAATTTTCTGACAGTGAGAACCATCAACCCATGGAACAAAAGTTGCCTTCAGAGGTTGTGGGAGCTTCACCACTGGAAGCTTTCAAGAAGAGACTGGACTGCCATCTATCAGAAATGGTGTAGGGTCTCCTGCTTGGGCGGGGGGTTGGGCTAGATGACCTCCAAGGGCCCTTCTAAGTCTTTTTATTCTGTTATTCTGCTAACCTCTTCTCCAAAGCACCTGAAGGCAGCGTAGGAAGAAATATCCTTCTGGGTTCTGCTCCAAGTGGGGAAAAAGACACTGGAAACATGGAGACTGCTTGGAAAGTTGGTTTAATGGTGGACAGGATCACATGGCTTGAGTTCCTGAACAGAAAAAAAAGGGCAGAGTTTTCGGGTTTTATGCTCTCTCTGGCTTTGAACTTCCTGGGGCCCCGAAAGAGTATCCTGATTGGTTGCCAGACTTCCAGGGGATGGGGCGGGGGGGTCTTAGCTAGCCTTGCTGACTGATGTAATCTTCCCAGGTGCCATGTGGCAAGTTTCTGTCCTAGATGGGTCCCCTTGTGTTGCAGATGAGGTCCATTGGCAAAAGACTGAGTTTCTGCCTCTGGCCCATTAACGAAAGGGTGGGGGCAGGAAGGTGGGAGCTGCTTCGTCTTTAAAACATGCTTCTCCATTTCTCATCCAGGGAAACATAATATTCTGCCTTTTTAATATTTCCTAAAATACTTCATTCCTCCAGGAAAGGGGTGGGTGCTAACTTCCTACAGCAGGACAAGAAGCAATGAATGGAAACTAATACAGGAGAGAAATTTTATTCTTTTATGTCAGGCATATGTAATCGATTTTATCCTGTTACTAGGCTTCCTTTCTTAATGGACCTCTATTGTTTCCACTTTTCTCAATGAGTGGGGTTAAAGGTCATGTCCTGTCCTCCTTAATCCCATCACCTGGAGTCTGAAGGTGGTTTTTTTTGGGAACAAAATCTCCATCTCTAAGGACTTCAGGCATCTGCTGGAGGCTGTTCAGAAAGACTGGGGGCTTGCTTTCTGCCTTTAAGAACATGTTTCTCCATTTCTCCTTTTGGGGAAATATAATCTTCTGCCCAGTGGTGAAATGTCAAATTTACTACCGGTTCTGTGGGCGTGGCTTAGTTGGGTGTGTGGGTGTGTGTGTGTAATGTGACTGGGTGGGCATGGCCAACATTTTTTTTTTTTTTTACTTTTAAAACCATTTTTTCTACAACCTCTTCAGGCGAAGAGGTTGTAAAAAATGCCTTTAAAAGCTTCTGACGATCCCAGCTGAGTTGCCTGATCGGCAGAGGCTTTTTTTTTTACTTTTAAAAGCATTTTTTCGGCTGAAGAGGTTCTAGAAAAATGCTTTTAAAAGTAAAAAAAAAAAAAAGCCTCTGATAATTACGTGGCTCAAGCTGGGCATTGGGGGGGGGGCAGGGATTTTTGCTACCGGTTCTCCGAACCAACCGCTGCCATCGCTACCGGATCGGGCGATCTGGTGCGAACCGGGAGCATTTCACCCCTGCTTCTCCCTCTTTTAATATTCCCCGAAATATTTCATTCTTCCGTTGGAAGAAATCTCCTTCTGGGTTCTGCTCCAAGTGGGGAAAAAGACACTGGAAACATGGAGACTGCTTGGAAAGATGGTTTAATGGTGGACAGGATCACATGGCTTGAGTTCCTGAACAGAAAAAAGGGGCAGATACAGTAAATCCTCGGGTTTTTATGCTCTCTCTGGCTTTGCATTTCTTGGGGCCCCAAAAGAGTATCCTGATTGGTTGTCAGACTCCCAGGGGGTGGGGGGTCTTAGCTAGCCTTGCTGTCTGATGGTCACGTGTGCTTCCCAGGTCACATGTGGTGAGTTTCTGCTGCTTTTGTGCAGAGGGCTAATCCTATCTTTGTTGGATCTTGGGCAATTCCTACTATGGCTCTGCCTGAAGGAGGTAGATCTTTGTTATGTAGAAGAGACTGGCCCAGACCTTAATGGCCCATTGACAAAGGGTGGGGGGCAGGAAGATGGGAGCTGCTTCAAAACATGCTTCTCCATTTCTCATCCAGGGAAATATAACATTCTGCCTTTTTCATATTTCCTAAAACATTTCACTCTTCCAGGAAAGGGGTGGGTGCTAACTTCCTACACTTCTAGGTGGGGCGGGGGTGTCTTCCTACAAGGGCAACATTTTTTTTTTTTTCTTAATGCATCTTACTAACCGCCACAAGGGGACGGAGGGCACCCATTTCAATGTGAGCCGCATGTTTTGCTCACTGCTAGGCCCTACGACACCAGCAGAGAAGGCTACAAGGACTGGTCGTTCATGTCGACCCACTACTGGGATGAAGACCCCCAGGGCACCTGGACCCTCCTTCTGGAAAACAAGGGCGATTCGTATAACGCAGGTACAGCCCCCCGCAACCCGATCCCAGTTCGGGTAACATCTGTTTTCTCCTTACGGACGCGTTTCCAGCTATCATCTATGTGCTTAAGGTCGACACCAGTGTTTCTCAACCTTGGCCACCTTAAAGCTGTGTGGACTTCAGCTCCCAGAATTCCCCAGCCAGCTATCCTACAAATCTTCTAAGATGTGCTGCAGATGTTTCATTCATTCATTCATTCATTCATTCATTCACTCACTCACTCACTCACTCACTCATTCATAGAACTTTAAGCTCTGTGGACCTCAACTCCCAGAATTCCCCAGCCAGCTATTTCGTCTTTTTTAGTTTTTTAGCTTTTAAATTGTCAATGGGTTTTAATTTGAATTGTTTTAAATTTGGGCCAAAGTTATGTAATTCTTTTCATTTTAAATTTTGTATTGGTATGTGTTTTAGTTCTGGCTGTGCACCGCCCTGAGTCCACTAGGAGAAGGGCGGGATACAAATTGAATAAAATAAATAAATATGCTACAAATCTCCTAAGGTGTGCTACAGATGTTTGTTTCTTTGTTTCTTTCTTTCTTTCTTTCTTTCTTTCTTTCTTTCTTTCTTTCTTT